CTCGCCTCCTCAGTTCTCACTTGAAGGGAAACGATGACTTCGTGATTGCATCTGTCAAATTCAAGTCGGAAGTTCAGCGCATCCTGGTTGATAGTGCAAGGGAGTTGCCAGTAACGTCGGACACGATTCGTGCAGAGACGGCTCAAGACGATATCTTGCTGAAAGTGATAGGTTTTGTGCTGTCTAGTTGACCTAATGTCAGAATTTCGAATCAGTTACAACCTTTCTTTAATCGACGCGGATCCTTTTCGGTCGTTGACAATTGTCTAATGTTCGGAGACTGAGTCGTGGTACCAAGGAAGCTGCGGAAGTGAAATACTACAGCAGTTTCATTCAGGACATCCGGGAACCAGCCGAATGAAGGTACTGGCGCGACGTTTTGTGTATTGGCTTCAAATGGATGCAGAAATCGAGCTCTTTTGCCAAAGTTGTGAATCTTGTCAACAAGCGGCAAAGGAATCTCCGAAATGTTAGTGGCACCCTTGGCCCGAGTCGAAGAAGCCCTGGCAGAGAATGCACTTGGATTATGCGGGACCAATCAACGGTCATCATCATCAACAACAGCAGCACATCAACAATTTGAACTGATGCTTCGCTGCCATACAACCATGAGGACCTATGAAATAAAGAATAAGAAGAGGGAGAGAAGGGGGACTTACTGGAAAACCTTAATGCCCTAAGCAAACATTCAGGGTCAAGGCGCCTACACCTTGTGTTAACAACATGCCGTCACAAACAGCTGGCTATCGTGCAAAGATAAGGCGGCATCGGCGAGACAGCTTCCTTGCGGCTTTCACTGCCCCGCATCATAATCAGCCATTACACCGCAGATAACTCAGCACCAAACACACTTTAAACAGGCAATCCGATTAGGAGACGGCAGCAGATGCGCCACTGGTGTCGGTTGCGAGCCATGTCCTGTAAAGTCTCGAGTCAAACACAAGGCGAGTCACGTGGACTCCAGCCCGGAAGGCGAGACGGACCAACGGCACCCAGTTTGGTCGTCAGTGACTTCACTCCCCGCTGCCAAGTCAACTTCTGTCCACCTCGAACATTCGCCACTCTACACTTGGTAGACTGAACAGGACCCTCCTAGGTAAGCGGTGACCTGGCATACGTAGCACGTGCCCGTGCCAACGCAACTTATTCAGTGCTGTCTTTTGTTCTATGGAGGTAGCATGACTATCACTACCTAGTACTCGCCTACGCACATCATCGTTGCGGACACGCTGGTGTCATCCGACACCAGCAATGCTTCGCAAATAACGATGATCAAAGACTTGAAGGCGCCTCAGATCTTCAGACCGAAGGGGCCAAGTTTCACTACCATAGAGCAGAACGGCCCTCACTGGGGACTTGTATACACGGCCATTCACGCGAAGGGAAACTCTTCTGTCGCCAAAGATGCCGCAGTTTCAAGGAGCCAGTTTTGGCTTTTGCAGTGCGTGAGTTGACGTCAGTTTATATGCGCCCATCATTGCTGATGCAGATGCCAAGATAAGTGAAATGATCAAGCACATCGAGTTCCTCGTTAGCAAGCGTCAAGGGGTCATCAAGTGGCTGGTGGTCCTGCAGCAACACTTTGAAGGTGCGAAGTGCATACTAAATAATGGGACCACTCTGGACAGGCTATTCAGGGTTGATTGTGCCACTGCAACAGCGTCGAAAAACAAGACTATATCGTCCGCATAATCTAGATCAACTAACCTTTCACCAGGCAGCACTTCAACACCTACATCGTGAGATTCCGCAAGGGAACACTCCATGATAGCATCCAAGACGAAATTGAAGAGAAATGGCGAAATCGGATAACCCTGACGAACGCCACTTGTGGTCGGAATGCTGTCCGATGGGACATCATCGACCCTGACGCGGCCTGTAGTGTTCGAGTATAGAGCACGAAGGATGTTCACATATTTCGTGGGAACTCCTTTCCGCGCAAGTATTTCGAACAGAATCGATCGAACGCACTCTTGAAATCGAGGAACACAGCTATTGTCGGTCTGCGGTATGCGATTCGCTGCTGCGGAGTGAATATATGGTCTATACAGCCACGTCCTGGGCGGTAGCCGGCCTGCTCTTCCCTTATACGAGATTCCCGTTCCGCAGTGAAGCGACGAACGATAATCGAGGCCAGTAATTTTGTCACAACTGGCGTTAGGCTAATACCCCTGTGGTTCGCACAGTCTGTGCGACTGCCCTTTTTGTATATTGCCACTATAATCGATTCACTCCAATTAGCCGGGACACTCCCTTCCTTCCAGATACGTTCGAATAGGGAGGTCAGTGCCCTGCAGAGGACCTCACCTCCATCCTTAAATAGTGCAGGTGGGAGGGAATCCGGGCCAACGGCACGAAAACGATTGAGGGTTCTGATCGCGTTTCGGACCTCGGCCTCCGACGGAGGGTCTAAACTAACCGTCCATGTCTCGTCCTGCATCACCTGAGTAAGAAGAGGTTCGGGAGCAGGGGGCCAGCTGAACTGATCTTCAAAGTGTTCAGCCCAACGAGCCATATGTCGCTCCTTATTGTTTATCAGTGCACCTGCGCTGTCTCTGACTGTCTCACTGACGCCTGGTTTTCTGGGACCAGTGGTGCGGATTAGCTGGAAGAGCTTGCGATAATTGCCTACTGCTCCTGCCTCTTCCATTTCTTGAGCCCGACTGGTCCACCAGACTTCCTTGTCAGCACGTAGGCTCCGCTTTAGTTCACGCCTAATAGCCCGTCTGGTCACATTGTGTTCAGAACCAGCCGGGAGGTGTCTTCTAGCTTCCAACAGGTTCACGGACCTCTCGGATATCCAGTGACTGGTGCGGTGACGATGGATAGTGCTACAAGCAGATGCTTCTGCGTCGTGCATGGCGGCCGAGATCCTATTCCACTGAAGCTCAGTGTCATTAGAACAAGACAGCAAAAGTTTGGTATGCAGTGCGTCTTGATAGGCTTGCCTGACAGAGGGCTGAGACAATTTCTCTGTTGCCAATCGGAGGAGACATTTGGTGCGCCTTCCGGTAAAGTTCATGGAGAAACGACAGCGCACCAAGGCATGATCAGAGTCGACACAGGTACTCCGGTACGAGCGGCAATCCAGGATGGAACCACGCCATCTGTAACTTATGGCTATGTGGTCAATTTGGGTCCATCGCTGGCCAGCTACAAGATGATGCCAATTGGCACTTGGGCGCCCACTGTGTTTAAAAGCAGTGCTAGTAAGAAATAACTGGTGCTCCGCACCAAGTTGCAGGAGACGCTCACTGTTGTCAGTCCGTTCGGAGTTAAGCCCATAATTACCACCCAACTGAAATTCTGAAGTGTTCAGACGCCCTACTTGTGCGTTCATATCCCCTGCAAGTACTATACTATCTGAACTAGTAGCACTGCGTAGTAGGGCGTTCAGTTCGTGATAGAATGTGTCCTTGACAGCATTAGAACTGCAGTCGGTGGGAGCATAAACGGAAATCACAAACAAACAGCTTTTGTATTACTTCGTGAATCCGCCTTAACTGATGTCGTCAAACGGTCAATCTTATTTGATTTTTGTTGATTCCTACACAAAATGGCCCAACGTGATTCCGATGCAAAATCCCACTGCCCAGCACACTATCAGTGAGATAATGGTCGGAAAGGACAAGTGGACCTGACACATCAATCATGGCAACAGCGGCATGGCAAAACTCAAGGACAACAAGAACCAGTGGCACCATAGTGGGACATACTACTGGATACATTTGGTTTAGAAAACATAACTGATCTCCAAAGCGGAACACAGCCGATCGCACTGACACCACACGACGTGACATGCACGCCAAGTCGAAGAAGAAGGCAACCGCGATGGCTACAAGTGGACCCTAGGGTAGAAAGCTACGACCAAGCCCAAGTGCGGAAAATAGGTAGGAGCGACCAATTCAAAGGGGGAGGTAATAGAGAGGCAAGCGGAGCCATTGTCCAGATACGAGATCGCGCACAGGCTTACCGCGGAGCACGTGAGCCGTCTGCTGCTTGCGATGGTCACCGGCACGAGCGTGGAACGACCTTCGACTGTTTTGCCAAATTTGGGAATCGGGTGCAAACTGATTGGCCCTGGTCAACGGAGGCGAACCATGATGCCAAATATGGAAAATCCGTGGGACGGAATTAACTTACATTGGCTGAGAGCCAAACGCGTCCAAAATTAGTATGTTTCGTTCACCAATAAATAGAACTAACCTATCGTGTAGAATAGACTCCCTGTGTACCGAGCCTTGGCCTTCTGTATCCCGTCGGTTGGTTGTGCGCGTGACTGAGCAATCAGGCGGTCGTAGTTTCGCAAGCGCAGAGTAGCAGCAGTACGAAGGAAGCTTTACAACAGGCACATCAGAAGTTCCTTGCTTATCATAATTTTTGAACGTGGTAAATTACTCCAGTGATATTTGCTCTGTCTAGTCTTTTTTAACGATTGTGGTTTTATATCTATCCTCATGTACTAGCCGTTTTGTTTATGTATCCCTGTCCGTGGTGTGTGTGTGTGTTAGACCTGAATATTCCCACTTCATGAATACATAAAGCATGTTCTTAACTTGTGTGACTGTTTGTGATTGTATGGTGTTCGTAAAGTTCAGATGTCTTGGCTCTAAATACCCGCTTGACGAGTTTAGTCCTCGCGTAAACGTTTTGTGGCTAACGATTTGGGTTACTTCATAAATAGCACCGCCGAAACGAAGTCCCCATTTATTGTTTTCGCTGTTCATACTGCTGCTACCACTTCTGATGCATGTTTTGCCTATGCGTCTAATCCAGGACTATAGCTGTGAGCATACAGTGGCATAAGCTGCGGGCTAGTTGGCGTAAGCCACTAGCAGTCATGGGTTCGATCCTCAAAAGAGGACCGAACGATGCGCACCAGCGACGAGACCCAATGGAGCGAATCGGTCGTCTGGTGCTTTTCCGGATTGGTAGTTGGGTTATCCGTATCGTCGGCTGGCTGCGACGAACTCAAAATAGAATACAGAGAGTCTGAAACGGGTTAATGTATAACATTTATTTTGAAAATCACTCATTTCGCAGAAAATCGGTTTTTTCACACATTGATCAGCGGTGCGATAAAATGTTCGATTACATTCGGCCCTTCGGAAGCTGGCACATTTGCCTAAAAAAGCAGTAAATAAGAGTGACATTAAGCTAAATAAACAAACATTTCATTTCTCGATGATGCGAGATGCCGTTCAGCAGATATGCACCAATCATAGTTCACATGATTATATCACAACAATCTTCACAATACTGGCGGTTTCCGGACCAGCTTTCTATGAGTTTGGAAGCAGTACAGCAAAAATACAATTTTAATTCGTAACAATGCAGGATCCAGTAGCTCATCACTTGTGATACTTATACCTGACGCCATAATAGGAAACAGAAACGTTGTTCACACACAGGGTGCCGAAAGAATCATATGCAGCTCGGCGCAATTTCGTCTCTGACTCGATGGTAACATGTCCCCCTCTGGCACACAGTCAGTTATTATGCTTCGTCGTAGAACAGATGGCGGTACCAGGCGTGGATGAGTGTGCATGAAAACACCCATGTCTTGAGAACCCAGAACAGTTCTAGTGGCCATATGCAGACAAAAATATCAAAGATCGCAGCATGCGATTTTCCTCAAGGCATGGAACACTACATCAGTTTTTCGGTTTTTAGTATAAACGGCTATTGCACGCAGCTGTCACCATATCAACAACTATTAGCAGTGGTGAGAAAATGACCGTGAGGGGAAAATAATGCGTAGAAGATATAACAAAGAAAAAAATGCGCGTAAAAATAATCGGAATGAAATGAAAACAGCTATATACAAGAAACCGAATGCATGGGCACCACTGACTGCGCGACTACGCCAGGTCCGACAGAGCCCCCAACCAATGACGTGGATTAACCCAAAGCCCCATCTATGAAGACGGCATACATCGACCTAAGTCTATCAGTCAATATCTTTATGCTATACCATCGACTGGTCATGTTGCGATTTTGACAGACTCGGTGAAGCGACGGCGTGTAATGCACAGGGAGAAAGGCGGTCAGTGTGTATACGGAGGTTACGACCTACACAATGTAAGGAGCCAAGCTTCAACAAAATTTGCCAAAAGCAACTGGCGGATTTCATCAATGGCTCGTTTTATGTTCCCATTAGATGTGAGCAATACTGCGCAACCGCCAGTGAGCAAAAACCACCAATTTCTTAATGTTTTGGCGCGAATTGGCCAGGCCTCGCCTTGTCAAGAAATATACCATTCATTTATTTGCCATCGTCAACAGTGCACGAGTCACTTGAACTGATATTTCGCTGACTACGAAACGAAGAATAATATGAGGGAGAGAAGAGGGACATGGCGCAAAACCTTGACACTCTAGGCCAACATTCAAGGTCAAGGCGCCTACATTTTGCCAACAACATACCGTCCCAAACAGCTGACCATAGTGTAAGAATTTGGCATCGGCGAGACAGATTCCCTGCGGTAATCACTGCCACGTGTCATTATCAGCAATTTCACCGGAGATACTTCAGCAACAAACACACTTTAAACAGGCGGTCCGACTAGGAGACGACAGCAGACGCGTCCCTGGTGCAGACTGCCAGCCATGTCTTGTAATGTCTGGAGCTAAGCACAAGACGTGTCACATGGACTCTGGCGTGGAAGGTGAGACGGACGGACGGCAACCAGTTTGGTCGTAAGTGACTTCATTTCCCGCTACCAAGTTAACTTTTGCCGACCTCGGGCTTTGCGCCACCCTACATCTGGCAAATAAAGCAATCTCCTCCTCGGTAAGCGATGACCGGGCATACTTAGTACGTTCCCATGCCAACGCAACTTATTCAGTGCGATCTGTAGATCTAAGGAACCAGCCTGATTATCACTGCCTAGCACGCTCTTACGCAAGTCATAGTTGAAGACACGCTGGTACTATCCGATGGCAGCAATGCTTCTCAAGCGGCGATAATCAAAAACTTGAAAGCACTTCAGATCGGCGAAGCCAAATCTCGCTTGGTTGTGGCCTTGAAAATTCAATCTTTCAAATCGAGTGAAACTGTTTTCTGGTGCCACAGACTCAAGAAGGTAGTTCTATATTTTGCAATACTTCAACTGACTTCAACGATTATGCGCCCATTTTAATGATGCAGCTGCAAAGTTGAAGTGATCAACCAACTTGAGTTCCTCGTTATCAAAGGTCAAGGGGCAATCAATTTGCCGGTGGCCCTGCAATAACACTTTGCACTTTGAAGGCGCATGACAATGATGGGACCACAGTAGAGCGGTTATTCAGAGTTGACTGGATAACCGCAACATCGTCAAACAACAAGACATTGTTCTGGGGTTCATTTGTTCGCCGAGCTTCGTAATTGGTATGCAGTCGTTTCATCACCATGCAAGATGACTTCCTCAATGCGCTGTAGTGTCAAACGTATTCAATCACAAATCGACGGCCAAACCAGCGGATTACGTTTGACCCTACAGCGCACTGTGGAAGTCACCTTACATGGTGATGAAGCGCATGCATACCAATTACGAAGCTCGGCGAACAATTGAACCCCAGAACGATCAACCCAGGCTACCTGTACATAAAGTCATTTTAAACAAGACATTGTCCATATAATCGATATGAACTAACCTTTCACCAGGCAACACCTCAATGCCTGTATGGTATGATTCCGCTAGGAAGCACCCTGTGGAGTTTACGATAAAATTGAACAAAAATGGGGGAGTTTGGCAACCCTGACGAACGCCACTTGTCGGGAACATATCTGTTAAGTCATCGTAGACCCTGACGCGACCTATGGTGTTCGAGTACGGGGCACATAAAAAGTCGTATATTTCATGGGAACACTTTCCACACAAGTATCTCGAACAGCGTGCATCGATCGATTGAATCGAAGAACACAGCTATTATCGATCCGCGGTATCTGTAGCGTTTCTCTAGCACTTTTCGTCGAGTGAATATATGGTCTATGCAGCTGTGTTCTGTGGGGAAGCCTGCTCGCTAATCCCTAATTCCCGTTCCGCAAAGAGGCGACGAACGAGAATCGAGATAATTATTTTTGTCATCATCGGTGTCAGGCTAAGACGCCTGCCGTTAGTACAGTCAGCGTGACTGTCCTTCCTGTATATTGCCACCATAATCGGTTCACTCCAGTTAACTTGAATGGTCTCTTCATTCCAGAACTACTCGAACAAGGTCAGTGCTTTGTAGAGGACCTCACCGTCATTCTTTAATAATGCGGGTGCGAGGGAGTCCCCACCAGCAGCTCGAAAATGACTAAGGGCTGTGATTGCGTTTCGGACCTCAGCTTTCGATGGAGTTTCTAAAATGACCGCCCATGGCTCAGCCTGTATCACCTGAGTAGGAGGGAGACCGTGAGCAAAACTCAGCATAACTGCTCTCGAAAGTGATCCGCCAAACGGGCCATGCGCTCGTCATTGTGAATTAGGGCACCTGTGCTCTCTGAGTGTCACAATGACGCCTGGTTTTCTGGGACCAGTGGTGCGGATCAATTAGAAAAGCTTTCGAAAATTGCCCAGTGCTCCCGCGTTTTCCATTTCTTGTGACCAACTGGTCCACCAGGCTTCCGTGTCAGCACGCAGGCTCTATCTTAGTTCGCGCCTAATACATTGTGCTTAGAGCCAGTAGGGAGTTTTTCTTCTACATTTCAACAGGTTCACCGACCTCTGGGATATCCGGTGACTATTGATTGTGCCACAAGCAAAGGCTCCCGCATCGTGCATGGTGGCCGAGATCCAATTCTAATGTGACCGAATGTCATTAAGACCAGAGAACGAAATTTCGGTGTGCAAGGCATCCTGGTGGGCTTGCCTGACCGAGGACTGAGATAGCTTCGTAGTTGCCAATCGCAGGATTCGCTTGATAAGTCTCCCGGCGAAATTCATGGAAAAATAACAGCATACCAAGGCATAGTCAGAGTGGGCGTAGATAGTCCAAACCCGGGATGGAACTCGAAGTGGCACTACGGTGCCCAGTGTCTAAAAGTGGTGCTTCTAAGAAACAGCAGTGTTCCGCGGACAGTTGCAACAGACGCTCACCGTTTTCCGTACCGTCGGAGTTGAGTCCATACTTATCACCTAGCTGAGCTTCTGAAGAGCTCAGACGACCCACTTGCGCATTCATATCTCCTGAAAAACACCGATATTTGAACTGGTACGGCTGCGAAGCAGCATGTTTAGTTTGTGGTAGAAGGCGGCCTTGGCAATATCAGAACAGTAGTTGGCGGGGGGCGTAAGCGACAACCACAAACAAAAGTCTAGTGCTGCTTCGTGAATCAACCATAGTTGGTGTCGTCAAACGGGTTGGACACAAACGCCTGCTCACGGGAATCCAATCAACCAACGATGACTCAGCGTTGGAGCTGAAAACGATGCCCACTTCAGTTTGACCAGTGATGCAGCATCCGCATCATCATCATACACGTTAGCTAGAGGTGGAGAACACCTCAGCTACTGTGCCGCAATACATAGAAAAAGGAGAAAAAAGCGACTGGTGCAAGCCGGCTGAGCTACAGGTAAAGGATGGGCATCGTTCCGGTAAGCTACCAGCCGGCTACTGTGCATCAAAAAATTACTATGCAAAATTATATAAGGCTAAATAATGAGATCATGGTTGGAGGAGGAGGCTAAGAGGGATGGGGTGACACAAAGAAACTCACAGCACGATCCCCACTGAGGTCGGTTCCTAGCCATATCAGCAAGTGTGTTCAACCAAACGTGTTCATCGTCTTTCGGACCCCAACCAGGGAGCCGAGACGCTCCAACCGAGGCCAGCTTAGAAGTGAAGGCCTTCATTCCTCTCGACCAAATCATCGCTTGGCCACCCTCCTTCCATCCACACCCCGGCGCGCAAACAACGCACGCCGCGGGAGTCGGTGGGCTGGCATTCGTAACACGTGGCCGAGCCATCGGAGCCTGGTGCGTGAAATAATGGTGCTGAGCGGTTCATTTCCTTTTCCTGTGCCGTAAACAAGGCGTCGAACACGCTCGTTGCTCACGCGGTGTTCCCACCAGATGTGAGCTGAATTCCAAAGGCACCGGTGGTCAAACGTAACTAACTTCTTCAGGTCCGTTGCTCTAAGGGGCCAGGTTTCACAACCGTACAGTAGGGTCGGACGTACCGCTGCATTGTACACCCTGCCCTTCAGGGCAAGAGTGATGTCGCGCCGGCGCCATAAGTGGCGAAGGTAAGCAAAAGTGCCCCGAGCTTTTGCTATACGGTTCGTGATCTCGTCTTCAATCCAACGGACGATGATACAACTTCTCAGGTAGTTGAATTTTGGACGACTTCTAGCTGATCCCCACCAAGGGTCAGCGAAGGAGGCTGTCCAGACCAATCTTGGAGGAACGCTTTGCACTTCGAGGGTGCGAAGCAATGCCCGAAGTGACGGACAGCTAGTGCTAATCTGTCCAGTGCCGCTTGGCACGTCTGGGAGCTGTCACAGATTAGGGCAATATAATCAGCATACTCTAAGTCAAGAAGTCGTTCTCCTGGGAGCAGCATCCGCGCAGTTACGTCAACAACAACATAGCAAGCACATGCCAGATCTCTTCCAAACTGGGCTTCAGTGTTTCAACAAGTGACAACCTCTGGAAGCATGCTGAATCGCTCGTCAAAATGTTCCGCCCAACGCGTTGTCGACGGGACTGAGAATGGAACAACGGTTCATCATTCTAACCTATTGTCTCATTAATTGATGGTTCTCTTGGACCCGTGGCTCAAATGAGCGGCTCCCAATAGCACTGGCTTTCTGCATTTCAAGGGTCCATGCCACCCACCAACGTTCTCGATCAATTCGAAAGCTTCTCACCAAACGTTTTAAGGCATTACGGACACAGTGAAACAGTAAGCATATGAACCTGATACCGTGCTTCGATCAGAAAAGAGAAAAACACATTTAGAGCGTCACAAGTCGTGCACAAAGCATTTTTCATAGCACACTTGAGATGATTCTAGTCAGCGTTCAGCTCATCAACTATATTCATCACTCACAACTGGTGGACCAGTTGGTTAGTGATATTGTTGAACTGGGGACTACAAGTGGGGTTAGGCGCTTCTTTGAAAATGAGAAGATTGAGCGCCGGGCGCGAGCGCATGGTCAGGATCCAAGCACGTAGTCCAACTTGACCAACAGTCATGAATCGATGTGCACCATCTGTAGCTGATGGCTATGTGGTCGATTTAGGTGCAGGCCATTGAGGAATTCGGTGGGCGTCAGGTGGCACAAAGGGAACGCTGGTGCTGGAGAGCAGTGTTGCTAATGTAGAGATGGTGCTCGGCGCACAGTTGAAGAAAACAATCGCCACTGTCTGTTAAATGGGCGTTTACCCCAAAACGTCCTCCCAGGTGTCGATCAGAGCTCGGTAGGTGACCCACTTAGACATTCGTGCAACAAGCAAAATAGCAGTAATCTTTGCCATGCAGGGAAAAAAGGAGAGCTGAGAATATAAATCGTATCTCAGGCCGTTGCTTATTAAGCCCAGTATAAGACTCAAGGTTAGAACGCACACATGCGGGTGTTCATCGGTATCCAGTCGACTGGATTACACACATGTTTACTATGAGCGACACAAATATCTTGACCTATGGACTCAGTATCTCCAGTGTTGTCACCGTGGACAGATTTGGAAACAGAGATTCGTCTCAACGCTGTTATCTAATATGCGTGTTTCAGAGACAAAACACACACCGATACTATGAGTGAAGCGGCAGAATTAGTGCTGCCCATTGACCGATCTGACCCAGTGCGGACGTTAGAAAAACCAATGTGGAATGAGACCCTTGGTTTGAGGAACGAGGTACATATATCGGTGGGAGCTGTTGCGAAGTCAGTGGCAGTCTCTGGCTTGACAGACAGGGAAGAATAGTTCTGATGGGAGAAAAACAAGGTGTGTTTTCGACAGGATTGTGATGGCACCCATTCCAAGAGAGCGGATTTTTCGAGGGGCCCTATCTTTTGACTCAACATTCAGACCCTGGGCCCTGCCTTATCCATAAGGCAGTGGACAGAAAGTCCAGCTCAACAGCATGATTACAGAGACCCAGTGCGCTCTGCTAGAGGCATATCGCACGCAGCCTTTGAAGATTTAAGACGATAAACACTGCATCACAAGAAGGCTGATCCAGAACCACCCAGCGGCGTTGTGCAAATACACATCAAAAAGGGGCACATGAAAGCAATCGGATCTGGTACAATGAAGATAAGGCGAATACACTCACTCAAAAAGTCGATTCACACGCTCACGTTCCTCTTGTTCCGACAGTTGACGTGCCTGTGAAGCTCCACTTGGGATATAGTCTTCCATAAGTTGCGTTAAATTAGGTTGATATACACTCAACGCGACCAGAGTGTTTGTGCGCCTCGTATATTCCGAGTGGGTCGTCTCTGGGTTTCCTTGCATATGGAGTGGCCAAACCTGTGAAGGAATCGATATGGCACAGTTGAAAGTTGGTTTAGCCGTGGGCTACCTTGACATTCCTTCTAAGTGAAGATGCAGTGTCATCAAAAAACTAGATAGTTTATAAGTATGCGAATGGAAAGGTGGAGCAACTGGCCAAGTCTTCTGACATCTCCTAATCATTATGTGCCTCGGAACGAGTAAATATCTAATTCTGAATAGCGAGCAGCGTCCTGTTACGAAACAGGTTATCGCTTCGGTGAAGCAAGATGAGAGGATGTATTGCCACCTTTTCGATTTTCCGTGGGGAAAGATTACAAATGTGCAGTTCGAGATTCACCGAAAACAGGAGCAAAGAATGAACGATAAACAGGCCATGTGGACGTACAGCACCGGTGTCTCCGATGTGAAAAAAAGGCCCGAATGATCATAATGTGATCGCAAATGTGACTCCCTACACTTAAATTATGAACCAGCTTCTGAGAGCATACCGAATAAAGATCGACCAACGAATAAACATCGCGGAAATTTCAAAATGTGCGTGCAAACCAACAGGTTTGAGTGGGTGCGAAGGATAGTAGGTTGCTCCTGTATGATGTTTTCAACGATTACCAAAAGTAAGCCAGCCAGTGGTTCAGGCAATAGGCAGGTCATGTAATGTTGGTTTGAACCTGCGTAAGTGTTAGGGACCTCGCATTATTCCGAGCCTGGCGCGCCACGTAACCATTAAAAAATGCGGGTACCAAACAGCACGCAAGTTTTAAAACTTATTGAAGTAACTATCAATTGTTGAGAGGTCTTAGCCCCCGAAATGTGGAGATTCGGCTGTTTTGCAAACTGAACATTTTTATCGCACACGTCTGGTCACCAGACCAGGTAATATTATTTCCATAGGGACTCTGGATAACAGTCAACATCTTCACATGCGGCTGTTGTGACTTGTAAAGAGATTCAGGAACGACCTAAGTAATGCGAAGTAGCCATGTTACTGATCCATCCCGTGACACCGGCCTTACCACAGTGGTGTGCACAATACCTCTGACTGATATTCCATCCTCTTTATGGATAACCATAAGTTGGGAAAGCCATGAGTGCATTACTAATAAATGTAGTACTCGCGAAAGCTGGCAACATTATGTTGGGAAGGGAGCCAATCGACCACGTTCAGTGGCTATTCCGTCAAGCTAGAACTGATGATGTAATGAAAAGGAAGAAGGCATCAGCAATACATCGGCAAGCAGTACCGACGCTTTGCTGCCGCGCAACCACCAACAGTCGCGCGTGTGCTAAGGATACTTGCAAGGGTCGCCCGGTCCCTAGGCACGCTCGAACCCACGCCATCGGATTATAAGACAGGTTTGTGATCCTTAAGGCCACGAGCCGGGTGATGACGACTAAGTCTCACTACAATATCCAATATTTAAAAGATGACAACATATGCGGACGCGCATCAACTTTGCTCATGACAACCAGATCAAATTCTGGTGCCAGGATCGCAGCTGATTACATGAGGTGAGGTGTGCTAGGCATGTTCCGGAAAGCAAACGGTCCTCGCCAAATGGTTATGGTAAATAAGAGAACGGCTGTGTGGTGCGGCGTTTGAAACCAACAACACCGACTGCGGAAATTCAGTTTGCTCCGAAATAAACCGTGACACGAAGTGACATTGAGAGTTGCAATCTGAACGCGAAACAGCTGATTGCTTCCAGTTTGATGACGTCTTATACAGAGCGCATAACAACAACCTAATTAGTTATACCCACAGACCGGTTCAACTCAAACAAAAATGATCCAGGGAACCGAAGGGCGTTGGAAGCAGTTGCCACGAACCGCAACGCCATGTTAACCACAAATAGCGATGGCGGGAAAATGAAGGAGAACGCAAACTGAATAGAAAATAAACTAAAAAGGAGGGGGCAAGATTAACAGTGTTGGATAATTAACAGCTAAATGCAACAAACCAACTGCAACATGTCCGATACAATCCCGAGTCAATTATATGATCCACCCCGAGGCCTCATTCACGAAGACGGCATGCATCAGATGGACCAAGTCTTTCAGTCAATTTCCTCATGCCTTTGTCACATATCATCGACTGGCTACCTCGCAGTCCGCTGTTTGGTGTAATGGCAGTATACAATGAACACCAACGTAGGCGGTCAACGGACATAGGGAGGTCATGGCCTACCAAACGTAAGCAGCCAAGCTACAATAAACACTTCATTGAGGCATCAAAATGTTTCTGGCCAAACGGGCGGATCTTACATGTGCTCACTTGGTTTTCCCACCAGATGTGGACAATACGCCGCAAGCACCATTGACCCGAAAACCACCAATATCTTAATGTCTGCAGCGCGAAGTGGCCAGGTCTCTGCTCCGTATATTGACAACAGTCTTCTTACAGTGTTACACACCCTATATCTCGCTGACAAACTGATACCCCGCAACCATACATTACTAGGCTACAGAAAGACCACACAAACTTTGCGGATACCCAAAGTTACCTCCTCAGTGATGTACACACACCAAGTGACGCAACTATCATGACAACTGAGCCGACAGACAACTTCTAGTGGCCATTCGTTGAGAGACAGAACCAGCGAAATATTGGCCTAGTTCTGCAACAGTATTTTGTACTTGAAAGTGCAAGTCACACGCCGAAGCGTGCAACATTAACCGTCAGCCTATTCAGTGGTGCTTCCAAAGAGCAACGGGGTCCGACCCAAGGATAGCTGTGTCATCCGCATAATCAAGGTTTGTCAGTTGGATAGCTGGCAGGAATTCAACTCCGAAAGATGCTGATAGAATGGAAGCATTTATGACATACTTGAAGAGGAGTTATAGGACGACTCTGGCGAACCCCACTTGTTAAGTGGAACGCAGGAGACAGCCTCCCATAAACACTTACCCGAAATCGGGAGTCACGGTACAGAAATTGCAGAATGGGGAGTCGTTTGCCTATGAGTCGAAGGCAGCTACCGAATCAAGGGCAACAACCATAGTACATTGACGAAAAGAAGATATTGTGGTCGATGCAACCAGTACAAGGGTGAAAGGCAGTCTCGGTCTCACAGGTATCGGTACGAGGTTGAAAAATGATATCCGTGAGATGTTTGGGGACAATGAGAAATTGCAAATGCCTGTGATTTTCGGATGGACACCTCTTGTGTTTAATGGAAGAGAAAAAGGAGTTGCAAGGAAAGAACAAGAGGAAATGTGACAGCTAAGTAAAGTCTAATGGGCGTATTCAGCACGACATAAAAGCTAACGCATTCGAATTACTCAGAGAAACCGAGACTGACCTTTTTGAAAACCTTGAAATTTGTACCTGTCCAATTGACACAAGATCTGGTTAGTTGCGCCGGAGTACTGACAATTAAGTCGCGTCTTTCGACTGGAACGTTAAGCCTTGGTACCGAGTTAGGCTGATGAAAAGAAAAGATGCAGTAAAATAACAAATGCCATGATATCCAAAATGCAGCAATGATTATGAGCTAACCGCATCCAGTGGAAATTCTGATAAATATCCTGTTCACCAGTAAAAGATACCACAGACGTGTGCAGTGTTATGACCCAAGAAAAGGAAGTGATATCCTCAGCACATGTGGTACGGTCTACGGGCGGCAGAGAACTGGTGGTTAAAATACACCTCGGGACCACCAATGCGACCGATGGTGAAAACGAGTTGCGGTTGTGATGTTCGTAAACATTCAATTGATTCATTTGTGGTGAGGAGAAGCGCTGCTCGCGAAGCTCAATGGACCAGTGATCACGGCTATAGCCGTCAACCACTAGGTGCCGAGTTTCAATCCCAGAGTAGGTTATCTTTACCTGACGAATCCGAATCAGGACGAAACTGGTCGGTCGTGGAGTACAGTGATGAGAGAGAGAGAGAGCAACACCGAAACCTTCCAGGAGAAGCAATGCATTGCGATGAATGAGTCCCACAGATATTGTTCAATGCTACACGATTGTAATTGCCGCAGTGCAAACCATTGTTTATTGCAAAAGGCGCTGCAATTTCAAATGCTTTTACAGGTATGTGGAAACATATTTGATAGATAACGCGTGCTTTCGTCACCGGATAATAAAAAACAAACGCATCCGCATCTGCTTCCTAAATTTTAACAACGCTTTCGGTTGTGTGGACCGTAATCGGCTGTTACGCGATCTATCAGGTTCTGGATTAAAACTTCGGTTGTTGTTCCTCTGCTAAAAGATTACTTTACAAGGCGTACTCAGTTTACCAGGATTTGGGGGAAACCTTTCTTCATTCACCATGAATTCTGGTGTTCTTCAGGGAACATTCATTCATTATACACGTTAGCTGCAGGTGGAAAACACCTCATCTATTGTGCCGCAACACAAAACACAAGAAAAGGAAAACAAACAGTGGCACACCGGCTGAGTCCCCAGTAACTGATGGACATCCTTCCGAGGAGCTACCAGCTGGCTATCGCGTGCCGTAAAAAGAGTTATATTATGCCTAACGAGTGGTATCGTGATTGGAGAGGGATGCTAAGCAGGAGAAGGATGGACAAAGGAACTCACAACACAAGTGCCATTGGGGCCGGCTCCAATCCATATCAGCAAGTGTGTCCAACCAAACGTGTTCACCGTCCTTAGGACCTCAGCCAGGCAGTCGGAATTCACCAACCGACGCCAACTTCGAAGTGAAGGTTTTCTTCTCTCTCGACCAAGTCATCGCTTGGCCTCCCCTCGTCCTTCCACAGTGAAATAAGGAGCCAACCTCATCCTGGAGGACCAGAAAGCTGAGTGTGTCTGGCCTCTAACCATTGACCAATCTGGTATGAGTGGCTCTGAAGGTGCAAAAGCACCACCCAGCATAGCTCAATGGATCTCTGACGCATGCAAACCATCGAACCACGGTAAGCTCCAGCCTCATTGCGATGGTCTTCAGGGAACAAAATTGTTCTCTTGTTCTTTTGGGAACAATTTTGTCCCCATTCCTATTTTCCAATTACGTCACCTCAATCCCTGTCCCCGAAGAAGCCATCTTACTGAAGTATGCGGACAACTTACTTACTGGCGTGCATCATCCAAACAGAGTTATCGGCCAAACTATAAACTCTCCTAGAGCTCACAAAATGGTCCAAATTCCGTTGCCTATCGTTTAACACCGTAAAGCGCAAGGATGTAAAGTTTTGGTTGTTCAAAACAAGTAATCACCATCAGCAACTTTCCATCGATGATGAAGATTTGACCGCTTCTACGTCACTAAAATACTTGGGAGTTATACTGACCAGTGGATTAATGTGGCCCCTTCATGTGAACGAAACAACCACTAAGTTAGGAGATTCGCATCCTCCGTACCCGTTTCTTTTTATCCAGCGTTTAATCACTGTATACATGTCATCACACTGGACCTATTACTTTTTCTCGTCTCCTAAGTAACGACCTCTAAGTAATTACCAGACCAGTAAAGTATATATATATATATATATATATATATATATATATATATTCAAAACGGCCATTAGTACAATTAGCATAGTGCCACAACCTATGGAAAATACAATAAACATACGAAGATAGAGGCGGGGAAACAATGTTCATGGGAATAGTGAGCCACAACAAGTCCGGCATTGTGCACGATTTCTTGCCATATCCAAGAGCGTTTCCAGCCATGTGTGTTCTGGAGCCGAGAGCACCCGACCACGGTTAACTTTGACGTAAGCTCCTTCATGCTCCTGACCCATCATACGTTGGCCACCTTGCTTTCGCTTCCAGCCGACTTCTGCGTTCGCGGAGGGCACGGCGAGGTAAGCGATGAGTAGACATGCGGAGTAAGTGCCCAAGCCATTGAAGTCAGCGCAAAGAGATTATACTGCTCTGTGGTAGGCAAAGTCTGTCCGATCTGAAAATCCTTCGTCAACTATCTTCATTTCTAGTGTGATGTTGCCATCGTACACCAGCAATGCTCCGAAGGCAGCAGTGATTAAAAACAGGCCAAGTCTCGCTCTCACTGTAGCATTGTAAACTCGGCCCTTCAGAGCTAGACTCAGATCACCTCGACTCCCGATATGGTGGAGATTGGCAAAAGCAACCCGAACTTTGGAGACGCGCAAAGAGACCTCATGCGTTAAACCATTAGCGCTAAGGCAGCTTCTGAGGTAAACGAATTTGTCCACCACTTCAAATAAAAGACCTAGAAGGGTAAGGTCAGGAGCAGCGCCTGGTCAGTCCTGCATTTCGATGGCGTGAAGGTCATTCCAAACTGGGGGACAGACATCTCCAACTTACAGAGAACAGTTTGCGCGGCCTGTGGGGAAGCGCAGATTACGTCAATGTCATCTGCATAATCCAAATCACGAAGTCGGTCACCCGGAAACAGCTCGACGCCACTGGGTTGGCAATTCTCCAAAATTTCGTCGATAGCGAAATAGAACAATAAAGGGGATGCTGGGCAACCCTGTCCCACACCACTGGTGATACTAAAGGAGGGGGCGAAAGTCCGCCATTATATATATATATATATATATATATATCATCATCATCATCATCATCATCATCATCATCATGCACGTTAGCTAGAGGTGGGGAACACCTCAGCTACTGTGCCGCATATATATATATATATATATATATATATATATATATATATATATATCAACAGTCCAAGAAACGAGCATGAAGCCATCAAGAAAGCCGTGGAAATCAAAGGTACAATCTGACCAAAAAATAGAACGAAACATTTTTAGTTGGTTGTTCACAAGCTGATTATTTCTTTTCTTGTCATTTTCAACGTTTGAAGTAGTAAGCAGATGTGAATCAACACAATTCTGCACATAATGCTGCCACTAATTTCAGTTGTAGGCCATGTCCCCAAGCGTGTTAAGCCATTTGCACTCTTCACCCTTGGGTTCACATCCTGGAAAACGTACGGGTTCAAAGGCGGCTAGACACGACGTCAGCGATTTCGTGTGCTGTCGCCAAGTGCAAGGCTGACCACCACGCGGTCACCTCCAGCCCGGTCCTTGACGACCGAACAAAGCGCGATGCGGTAAACGCTCAGGCGCCATGCGTAGGACGTGAGCAAGCCATCTCAACTGGCGCACAAAACCAGCGTGTTGAAGGGAATACTCGTATTCCCCAAGACGCGACGTCCAACGTCATCAATGGGAACTTGATGTTGCCACCATATACGAGCGATCCTCCTCAAACAACCGTTGTCGAAGGCAGAAAGACGACGCATGTCCTCCACGCGAATTGGCTAGGAGTCGCTCCCATACAACAACAATTCATTATGACGCCACAAGTGCCTCAGATTGACAAATGCTGGTCGGGCCTTAGCGGTGCGAAGAGAAACGTCTTCGCTAATAGTGTCGCCAGTAGAAACAGCTCCCAAGGTAGACGCAACTATCTACCTGTTCAAGTTATGCACCTTAAAGAGTGAGCACAGGAGCAGATACGGGCCACTTCTGGAGCAACACTGTACACTTCGATGGGGCGAAGCTCATGCCATACTTAGATGCATCAAACGCCAAACGATCTACAATGACCTGCATTCCCCGCGATATCATCAGCATAATCTAAGTCGGTAGCGCGCTCACCAGGCAGAAGCTTTAAACCAAATTTGAAAACCTTCCAGTGCTCTCGACAGGATGTCCTCGATTGCGAAGTTGAAAAGGAATGAGAACATAGGGCAGGCCTGTCGCACACTGCTATAGACAGCGATAGGCGAGGAAAGCCTGTCACAGGCCCTCACTCTGCAGGAGCTATGAAGGTAAAGTGCAAGTGTGATGGCGGTATACTTCTCTGGCATTCCGTTCTTCAGCAAGCAACGTCATAAAGTAGATAGATTAACGGAGTCAAATGCAGTCTCGTATGTCCGGGAATAAGACGATAGTGAGTCTGTGATAAATGTGGCACTTTTTAAGGTGTTGGCGGAGCGTAGGGATTTGATCCGCGCATCCGCGACCGGGACGGAAACCAACTTGTTCTTCACGGTAGTACGACTCACGTACTGGGGATAGTCTAGGAAGCATAATGGGTGAATTTAACTTGGAAGTAACCAAAACAAGACTAATCCCGCGATGATTGACACCTGAAGCGCGAGCGCCTTTTCTAAAAGTAGGGACAACTGATTCGCCCCAAGAGGAAGACACTTTCTCTTCATGCCAGATTTTTGCAGACAAGATCCGCTGTTAATGATCTCCACGCCGCGGTACTTGAACAGCTCTGCTGGAAGTCCGTCAGAACCGACAGCCTTGAATCGCTTCAAATGTGGAATCTCGAGGCAGACTTCCACTTCGCTGAGTGGATAACAAGATATACTGTAAGCACCGATGGATGGTGAAGGCCAGTTGAATTGCGAGTAAAAGTGCTCGACCCAACCGTCCAAACGCCTCTGTTGACTGATGATCGGAGACCCACCCGCCTCGTAAATAACCTAACTGACACTAGGCTTCCTGAGACCAGTGAACCGAATAAGTTGGAAAAGCCTGCGAGTGTTGTCAGAGAGGGCAGCGGTCCCCATCTCTAAAGCGCGCTCAGACCACCGTGCCTGGCGATCATTGCGCAGTTTTTGCTTGAGCAGCCGGTCGGCAGAATGGCGTCGCTCGTTGCAATCTGATTTCACCGGGATCTCTGCAGCAGTCGAACAGCTTCAGAGAGCGAGCAGAGATCCAAGCCTTTAAGGAGCGTCGGATAAGGCCGCAGCTTGACTGTTCGGAAGTGGTCATCGCCTTCTATATACAAGTCCACTGTTGCTCTATCTCTTGTGGTGGATTGCGACTGAGTGCGTATGCCAATGAATACTGATCGTACGTCTGGACCGAGGAATCAGTTAGGTTTGCAACAATCCTGCGTTGCTTCGTTTTTGGGAATCCCCAAAACACATGCAGATTTTTGCGTAGACCAGTGCATGACCTGTGTCGATGAAGGTAGCCCTGCATTGGTCTGCAGTCCCGTACACTGCCACGCCATCTGAAGCTTACTGCAACGTGATCAATTTAAGACCACGCTTGTGTTGGAGAAAGGGGGCGCTAATTTGCGGAACGTTTCATCGTATGCCTGAAGTTGGTGCTCGGGAGAAACAGGTGATTGTTAAATCGTCAGTTGTACGCTGTAACGGCGCTTCGTTGCTGCGTGGCCACCACCAGTCGCGCAAGGGCTGAGCATACCGCGAGGACGCCCGCCTCTACGCGGATTCGAACCGGTGAGCCTTATGATTGCAAGTCATGCGTGCAGCCCATTAGACCAACGGCCGATCTAACCCGGTGTAATGACATTTCAAGGGCAGAACTTATTAAAGCATTGTATTCAGCCATGTCAGTTCCTGTGACAAGCTTGCAGCTAAAATACTCACTACCCCATCACAGGGCGTGACCAGAGCTACAAAACTGTATGTGCCCACACATCAGTAGTTCCTTGCTTGTCACGTTTTTGAATGATAAAAGTTCGGTCATTCAAGAACCGCTTAGTAAATTATTTAGCTGTCAACATGTTTTATTCGATGTATTATAATATTTTATTATTTATCCCTGTGCATAAAGCACATTCTTGACTTGACTGATTGACACGCTGGCAGATCACGAAGGTGCTAAGTTCATATAAGGAAACTCACGTCGGTCACATTGATATCTGGAACAAAACTTGCTTTTTTCGCAAGCCATCCAGCAGAATCTGTCGTGTATGAGTCTTGCAAAGGAGTAGCTTCTGTCGATAGCAATCTTTGTGACAATTTCAAATGCGACGGTGCATCATTTAATGAAGGAGAAAGCAACGCAAAGGTATCAAGGTTTCCCAGTGACTCAGAGCACGACTGCCGCTGTGATGCATCTACGTCCACAAAATGGGCATCTTGAGACGGAACAGGACTCGCGCGATGCTGCCTCACCGGTGCTTCGGATGAACTACCGCGTAAATTCACCAGTGATGACATTCGATTGAGCGCGGAAAGAGCATCTTCCTCATCTGGTGACAACGGAGCGGGCAAACTGAAACGATTGTCTAAAAAAGGAAAGGTAAATTACCCATACGGCAATAAAGAACATACTTACTACAGCGTGACACAACTTTCCAGAGTGTTTAATCATTTTAGCGGTTAAAGTCCTACTCCGTCCGCAGAGACCGTTCGGTTAACGACTGCAACCAAGCGGAGACCGTTGACTTCAATGCCACCGAGACTAACGAACCCAGTGTTAACTCAAAGACAAATGGATAGATGTAGGAACTATGATATCAACTAAAGTAAGTTCAAGTGCGTCTCGGATAAATCTCACTACTCTCTTGTGTATCCTCTATACAAACCTGTGAGATATCGACATATCAGTCGAAGACACTGTGCGGAACGCTGCAATGCAGTGATATTAACGTGTGAATCGAAGATAAGACATCAAGAGACTGTTATACCCATGGAACACTGATAGCTACGAGTATCGTCGAATGATTAATGTTAATTTCCACTAGTTGCTGGTCGGTAATAGAACTACTAGCAGACAATCGAAAACGGCGCGTAAATCAATTTTTAGAACCAGTGGCACGAGCAGGTTTGAAAAGGTAATGCATCAACAATAATTGCACGAAGAACTATGTTCGACTAAAACGGAAATTACCTGGAGGACTGAATTCCAACGGAACAAAACAAGTCACAAGTGGTGATGACGGGATTTTGTCTTTGGTAGAAATGCCTGGAGCCATGCTTCGAAAGGAGCCGTCTGGTTGATCTTGAGCCAAGCATGTGCTATCTGAAGATACAGACAAGGACTTCCGCTCACTCAAACGTGTCTTTGGAGAAGATTCAGAATCGGGAACCAAACATATTTTTTCCGCAGGTGGAGTGACTTTCTGACAAGAAATGTGTTAATCGAAAATTGGTCAGATTAGATGTAAGGCAGAGACTTAAAAAGAAGCGGTTGTTACACTGACAACAATCAAGGGATCTGAACGGAACGAAATGGCTATTGTCTGGAGTGTTAAGATTCGAACTTCTCGAAGTAGGAGTATTGTTAGAACCCAAGGGGCAGGCGGTAATCGTTTATTGCTAAAGTGGCTTAGACTAGGTGTGTTCGTTCATACCTTGGAGGCGTCCGCTCATCTGCGTGATCTCCATGGAGTGTTCCACAATTGGTGCTTGCCTCTGTGTTCACTCCTCGTGCGCATGGAACTGTAATCCTGATGTCATCTTCAACTTTGGGGAAGTCGGCAGGGCTCGCTGTTGGTGTATCATCTTGCACCACCACACTACTTATACCCGGCGCAGTAGTATCTACCTTTAATCCACCACAGTATGAACATTCCAAGGGGCATTACGCAATAATAAGCTATGGTTAGGTGAGTGCACTGAATTGCTTATTAGAAATTCAGAAATATGGTTCGTAGATACCAGTGAGCATCGATGACCGGGGAAATACGAAATATGAATGATGACAAATATCCTTTAGTTTGGTGAACTACGTTCACGCACAAACATATGAAACAGAGCGATCAATCGGGTATTGTAAGGCAACAAGCATGAATAAAGGGGACAGAAACAGGGTTGGGTGAAGTGGGGGGAAATGTGCTTAGATGGAAGTAAGCTGGAAACAATACCGTCAGATGGCATACAATTCAACCCGGACACTGCCTTTGACGCTGTTATTCTTGTGGAAAATCAAGTGCCATAAATTACAAGTAATAAAACTCAAGGACTCATCTCGGTAGACGAATAGAAAAGAAACGCTGAAACTTGAGGGCACCCGTACATAACAAATGTAAAGCCTGGTGCTTTTCCGGATTGGTAGCTTATCTACACGGCTTGGAATTTAATTGCGATGAACCAAATCGAATCATAGCCAAATCCGTCTACTCATTAGTAATAAAAAATCTAAGCCCTAACAGTATTCAAAGTTGCTGTGTGGATTCACGGCGCTGACAAAGGAAGACCTGACCGTGACGGCCAACCACTATCCTCTGCACGGGCAATAATCTGCACGGTAGTGGAGGATGGGTCGGGCTATATCGCAGTTAGGTTTCAATTCGTAATGGTCGGCTGTCGTCCCCCATGGCTCAGTGGCATAAGCTGCTGGCTAGCTGACGTTAGCCTCTAGCGGTCATGGGTTCGATCCCCAGTAGGGAACCGATAGATGCGCACCACTGACGAGCCCCAACAGGGCGAAACGCGCGTCTGGTGCTTTTCCGAATTGGTAGCTTACCTATGCGGCTTGGAATCTAATTGCGATGAACCAAATCAAGTGTAAGGTCTGTCCAAGGTGAATAAATCAAGAATGCCTAGGCAACCAATTATCTCCACGGTCAATTTCGCCACACCATACTATTGCAAAATGGTTGAACGGCATGCTTGAGCCTATTATTCGGACTCCTTCTTTGCTTGGAAACTGCCCATTTGATCCCAATGAATGAGACTATTGATTTATCTCTGTGGACCTGTCCCAAAACATAATATTCGACTGCAGCTCCGCACAAAAATATCGCAACACGGTTCTTGTAGGTACGAAAATTGTTTTATTTCCGAAGGATGGCATACCGACAGATAGACGGGTTTGCCATTGCTAGGCCCTTTGCTGACGGACGTATTCATGGGTGTGATTGGAGAGAAGGTAGATGATAAGATCGATGACTTCATATAAGCGTTATTTTGAGGATACACTGTTTATCATGGATTCGGATGAAGACATCGTGAATGCGACCGAAACACACAAAAGTATGCACTCGAACCTTACAGTGACGCGTGACATTGAACAAAACAATTGTCTTCAGTATCTAGACATAATGAGCACGCGGCGATTAGATGGTGTTATAACCAAAGGAGACATTGCTAAGTGATTATTCATCTGGTCAGAATCAGTGACAGCGGAATAGGGTGAATCGAAAAAGCGAGTTGACTGGGCATTTACGAGGTATGAGAGGAGCGCAAGCCACCAAGTCAACCTAGAGAAATCATTCACCATTCTGATGCCCAATCACAGGACCAACATTTTCAGGCTACTGGAAGCCACTGTCATTGATGGAGAACGGTCACTGCTGTGCATGCAAAAATAGCTGGCCATGAATCTGACTTCACCATGGTAGCGTGTATCGTGCCAATTGGCTAATAATCGATCTCATATGACCGTGTTCAAGTACGAGCATCACTGGTTGCACGTTTGTAATTGATAAGGATGCACGAAGTGACTGAGCCAACTCACAGATTACTTCTTCTGATTTCATTGTCTGAAAGTATTTACGAATAGATCCGTACAGTAAGCAAATGCATAATCGCCAAGGTAATATATACGGCTTATAGTCAGCACCCATTCCCCTTGCTCACGTGAGAAATTATTGTTCCGCATCATGTAATCGGTGTGACTAAGCGACTAACGGGACAATGAAGTGGTGGGCATGGCTGGACTAGCTTTAGTTGGGCTCCACTCCAGTGGAAAGGGAAAACGGTGAACGAACACCATTCCGAAAATTTCAGTCTATGAAGAGAGAATTTCAGCGCAGTCGGTGTAACATTGGAGGAAACTCCGGTCACACCGGAATGCGCTACCACTTTGTCCTTCACCGGAAATCCAGCCAGAGGAGCAGATGGACTTAACCGAGGCAACTAAACCATGGAACAGCCCAGAGAACTGAGTATGCAGACGAGAATAGCGCGGACCGCATTAAGTGCGTAGGGCCGATGCAACATATACCAAGTGCTGCTGCTTTCCTGGAAAGGTCGGTGCAAACGACAGCCTGTGTATTAAGACCGCACGCAACGTTTACGTATAACACAAACTTGAAAAAGTGGTGGAGGCCTGAAACACTCGGAATACGCACGCCCTTTAGTCCGAGCGCACACAACCCCGGGAATTGTTTGGTTTGAAGTATGCTAACAAGTTAACGTCACTACTATGCAGCGAAGAAAGCGTGACAGACAGCGTAGCCGTTTGTACACTCCAAACTATATCAGTGACGTGATAACTCTGTGAATCAAACTATGCACTCACCCTGACAGGCGGAATAAGTTTTGTGCATCGACGAATTCGCTTGGTTGACGTCTTGCATAATTGCGTTGGACTCGACGACTCCGCCACAGGGCAAACCACAACACTCAGTTCTCTGGAGGAAATATAGGAAGGAACCGATTCAGTACGCGAATTGCGTACACAAAAAGCAGCAATCATCATAAGCATAAATACATGATAGATGAGGATGAAAACACATAGCTAACGTGCCGCAATACAATATGATAAAATATCGAACAAGAGACTACAATATCGGGAATAAGATTGTGGTTGGAGGGGTGGACTAACTGGGAGGGGGCGGGACAATGAAACCCGCAACACAAACGCCACTGAGGTCCGCTCATCGCCATGTCAACAAGTGTATCCAACCAAATGTGTTCATCGTTCTTCGGATCTCAGCCTGGCAGTCGACAGAAAGCAACCGAGGCTAACTTCTAAGTGAAGCTTTTCATTCCTCTTGACCGAGTCGCCACTTGGCCCGAAACGACTGACAGCCAGTGCGAACTTATTCAATACAGATTAGGGCAATGTTGCTCGCATATTACAAATCAAGAAACCCATCACTTAGAACCAGCTGCACACTTTGTGGGCCGCGTCCAGTGTACACGGTTTCCATGAGTTCGTCGATGGTTAAAGAGGGAAGGTGACAGCTGACAACCCTGTCTCACACTGGTGAAGGGCGGCGACAGTTTGCCATAGGCGCTCACTCTGTCCGTACTAAGTGCATACAACGCTCTGATAATGCTCGGACACACCTACTCTGAGCACAGTACCAAAGGGCACATCGATCAACCGTATCTAAGGCAGTTTTGACGTCGGAGAACACGACTGGAGTGGGTTGCCAATAAATACCGCAGTGTTTCAACAACTGACGCAAAGTGGTCAATGCAGTCTCGATTTCGACGAAACCCGGCTTGCTCCTCAAGCATCTGATTTCCACCAGTGACATTCAGTCTATGGAGGACGAGGCAAGTAGCTTAGAGGCAATTAAGATCAGACGAAATCCTCTATGACTGCGCATTCCGAACGTCAGCATCCCTTGAAAATTGATACTATAACGGAGCGATTCCAGTCTGTGCAGATCGGACATCAATGGTAGAAAATAATGAACAACTGGCCTACATTTAAACTTGAAACGATGTTGCGCGCAGATAAAATGCCGACCGACAATGGAGGCACAATGCGATTAGTGTTCCTGTCAGAGTACCGAGCCATCTTATTTGTGACCTAATGATATTGATCACCTGTTAAAGTAAAATAGCTTACCTGTGTTAAACGAAACGAGGCTCCCGGCATAAACAAATTACTTCCATGTTGAGGGTCATTTTGAAGTACACGTTGTGTGGATGGATTGCGACGCGCAATCTCAATGTTGACCGTGATTCCCATTGAAGTGAACTCTTGGTCTTTCGATCACGAGGACCGTAGCTGATGCAAATAGAAATTGGGTGTTGCCCGCCCGAAAACACTGCACTACTATGACGGTCAACGTTGCCCGTGACCCGGTGGCTTAGGGGTAGCGGTCACAACTAACATCCCGATGATCCCGGGTTCGATGCCTGCTAACTCTATCTGATGAGATGTAATAACATCGAAACGCGTCATAGTAGTGCAGTGTTTTCGGGCGGGCAACACCCAAATCTCTAAATTACTTCCATCTTTGCTTAGGTATTGTAGCGATTGTAGACGACTTGTTGCTCTATTCAACACCATCTGGGATAGCAAAAGAGGTGTCTACTACCAAATGTCTTGCCAATTCTCCCAAGACGTTATTGCACTTTATGCAAGTCAATGAGGCATTAACCTTGTTTTCATTACCTACTAACATTTTACGAGTATGTCTGCGACGAAGATTCACTGGCCATAAGTGGGGTCAAGTCGATGCAATGCAGGCTGGCTTCCATCCCGGTCGTGGTTGAAGTAACCGCATATCTGTTCCTCGTCGAGTATTGGAGCAGGGACATACAAATAACCGAACGTAGTGGCTGTCCTGGAGTTGACAGTCGTCTTCGATTTTAATCGTATCAAGTTCAAGCATTGCCTATCCGTAAGGGCATGGACAGAGGAGTTCCTTACTATTCTGAACTCGCGAGCTCTGAAATAGAGGCTCAACAGGAAGCTGTCTCCTGTGTATCAGGGTAGTGCTCTATCTTCTTTCCTCTTCACATATGTAATCAAAAAAGTATAAATGACTCCACCCTTTGAAGTCACCCCATCGTGATGAGACTGGACATTAACGTGATGCGATGGTTTGTGTGCCTCAGTGATCCATGGAGCTACGCTGGGTAGTGCTTTTGCACATCCAGAGCCACTCATACCCGCTTGGTCAATGGTTAGAGACCAGACAAACTCAGTCTCCGGGCCCTTCAGGTTGAGGGTTGGAGTGAGGGTGGCTCCTTACTCCATAAAACGGGCTCTCTGTAGTCCAGTGTTAAAACCCCGCTGCATTGCGGTAAGGTTTTTGAACCAAAGGCTTTCGCTGAGAACCCAAATCGTTCTCCTCTCTAGGCCTGGACAATCTGACAGTATACCGTCCATGCAATATACCATGACGTTTCCTTCTAACAGTCTCTTGAATCTCTGGCCGTCGCAGAGGATAATAAACGGTGCCCTATCTGCAGCAACAAGCAGTGCGCATAGGGGTTTGGATGCTACTTCTCAAGCGTTCCAGCCTACTTATTCCCCTTCTTGCGTTTTCTATCCTTAGCGTCCCGTTCCAACTTCACTTTCATCCTAATCAGAAACAGCCAACAAATGTGCCATGCTAGACAGATTAGCACTGATTGCCAGTCACTTCGGGCTTTGATTTGCGCCCTCGAAGTGCAAAGCATTCCATCAAGATTGGCCTGGACCGCTTCCTACGCTGACCCTTGGTGGGGATCACCTAGAAGTCGTTCAAAAATGCAGCCACCTGGGAAGTTGTATCAGCGCCCGTGGGATTGAAGACAAGATCACGAACCGTATAGTGAAAGCACGAGGCGCTTTTGCTAATCTTCATCGCTAATCGTGTCGGCGCGCTATCACTCTCGCCCTGAAGGGTAGAGTGCACAATTTAGCGGTACGTTCGAATCTACTGCACAGTTGCGAAACCTGGCCCGTTAGATCAACGGACATAAAGAGGCTAGTAACGTTCAACCACCGGTGCCTTCGCAGTTTAGCTCACATCTGGTTGAAAAGCCGCGTGAACAACGAACGTGTTCGACGCTTTGTTTATAGCACAGGAAAAGGAAATGAACCGCTCAGCACCGTTATTTCACGCACAAGGCTTTGAGAGCTCGGCCACGTGTTACGCATGCCAGCCCACCGACTCCCGCGATGTGAGTTGTTTGCGCGCCGGGGTGGTGATAGAAGAGGAGGAGTGGCCAAGCGATGAATTGGTCGAGAGGAATGAAGGCCTTCACTTCGAATCTGGCCTCGGTTGAAGTGACTCGATTCCCTGGTTGGGGTCCGAAAGACGATGGACACGTTTGGCTGGATACACTTGCTGATATGGCTAGGAGCCGACCTCAGTGGGGTTCGTACTGTGAGTTTCTTTGTCTCGCCCCATCCCTCTTAGCCTCCCCCTCCAACCACGATCTCACTACTTAGCCTCACATAATTTTGCATAGTAAATTTTTTGTTGCTCCTTGCTAGCCGACTGGTAGCTTACCGGAACGATGACCATCCGTTACCGGTAGCTCAGCTGACATGCATCTGTCGCATTTTATTCTTTTTTGTTTTATGCATTGCGGCACAGTAGCTAACGTGTAACACAATAATAATAATAATAATAATAATAATAATAATAATAATCACTTTCATCCCCCTCGTTTTCAATCCCCCAATTCTTAGCCCTCCCCCATCTTGCTTCAATAGTCGCTGCTAGTTTCAACTCCTGCACAATCGCAGAGCGTCACTTCAACCCAGTCGATAAATCCATGTTCAACCAAGCGGAAAATGTCAGTTAATCTGTTTTCCTTTGGAGTCCTCGAGTCTCGCTAAGACTGGCATGCCTCAAGGTGCGCACTTTGCTACAGATTGGCCAACAGGCAGCACTTGTTCGAAGACTCCAAGCCCTCTCGATCGATATTTGCTGTTTATCGGAAATCTGCCTGCAAGATTCGAGCTCCGTGCTTACTCTACGATCCCACACATGCGACACTAGCGGCACATTCTCATTGCGTCTCTCTGGCGATGTCGCAGGTTCAAATGCAGGTCAAGGTGGCATCGGCATTGTTTTGAGTCCCCGGGCTGAAGCTGCCCTGGTCGAATGGATCCCTGTCAACAGCCGGATGTGCGCCGTTAGGTCGGCTGGCTGGTTCCAGGCTTCGAAGTCGCGCAAGGACAAACGATGCCTGTTTGTCATTGCACCTTACGCCCCCACAAACTGCAGCCCTGTTTCGGTGAAAGACGATTTCTATCACCAACCTAACGATCTCTTCGTTACAGAAGCAGCACGGATACTGTGGTGCTTGTTGGTGATCTAAACGCGTAAGTCGGAAAATTGCCCTCTGATGAGCTTCATCTGGGCGGCCAACATGGTGTAGGCTCCTGTAATGATACTGGAGCAGTTACTACACCTGAGTGTAGGTGCCCATCCCTTTTTCCCGAGCACTAACTTTCGACATAGCACCCACAGAAGAGTAACTTGGCGCCCACCAGCCTCCGGCCAGCCATGGACGCTAATCGATCCCATCGCGATTAGTTGCCGCTGGAGTGGATGTGTCCAAAACTGTCGCTCGATTTGGAGCACCAACGTGGACTCCGATCACGCTCTTGGGTGTGCTGACCTGCGGGTGCGTTTCGGCGGACGTCCGCAAAGTCGCTCTGAGCTCAATGAGACCAGCCAGGTGGTGAAGCCAGGTGTTCTTAATGCGTATCAAAGTTCACTGACATCCGGGCCGAGTAAGCGTCCACTGAACACCGCCTAAGATCACTGGTCGCATATTCATCAAACCTTACTATCAGCAGGCATGTTTTCATGTGGCAAATCAAATTACTAACCTAGACTTTGGGTCTCTACCAAGTCTCTGAAACTTATGGATGCTCGCCGGCGTATTCCATGTAGAAACGAATGCACTGGGACTCGCAAAAATCTTAGGACAAAACTGCGTT